GTTGTACTAACCAAATATCAGATATCAATATATTAATATGCATTCATAGATTTTCAGGTATTAGAACATCATGTCAGAATGATTAATAAGCAGAACTCTATGTCTGAAACAGAATATGAATGAAACTCTAAAGTTCACCTGATGCAGGGTTGACTGGTGAGATGAAGGCAGATGTGCCTCTCTGTCTTTCACACCTGCCCACTCAGACGGCAGGCGGAGGGAACCCCTGCCCTCGCCTGCAGCATCAGACAAGATTAAAGCCATGGACAGGCAGACAAACTGAAAGTCATGCTCAACAAATCCTCCCACACAGTCTGCAGCCACAACAAAAAGATCTGTCAGAGGAGCTGGACGCTGCACAGGACAAACACAGTATGATGTGTTGGCTATTGACCAAATCTAACTCCTTTAATTTAGAGTTTTGCTTAAGGGCAGGATCTGATCTTCCACCTCTCTCCACTCACATTTATCCAGCTAATTATCTTCTGGTCACAAGATGCTTCTCCAGTGTTTGTGCCACAGTTAATCATTATTTTCAGTTGATCATCTACTGTAATCAGGGCATGAAATTCCTCGGTCCGCACTTGTACAATGTGACTGAGGGATTAAAGGTTCAATTATTTAAAATAAACCCTCTGTCACTTGTACCTCCTGCAGGAGAAGTCAATTAAAAACATGATGAAGGGTTGGAAAGAAAATGGATTGCGCTTCTAAATTAAAGAGGTGGCTGCAACAATCAGGGTGTGCTCGAAGACAGAGGAGGGTGTGATGACGTCAGTGTTTGACAGACGAAACATCAGACAGCCTCTCAGTGTGCAMAAAAAAAAAAAAACTCAAGAGGCTTCCTCTCGCTGGTCATTGTTCAGCAGATCCAAGGAACAAGCTCCGAGGACGAACAACGCTCAGGCTGCGGCCAAGACCAGGTACTAAGTTTTTCTTTTTATTAGAAACCATGAATATTTGATGTATGGATTATAAATTGATTGTGACCAAAATGTTTTCATGAATTGAATGTGTTCTTATAATGAATGTCTTTAT